GAGCGTGTGGCATGTGAGAAACTCCGTCTATTTGCGAGCCATCTCGTCGAGACTGAGCACGTACATTAGCTCGCAACTCTGTAATTACTTCAAGGGAGCATCAATAATATCTCAGTACTGTCTCGCTGGAATCGAGCGTGCTGGGCGCATCTGTGAGTGATCTAGTCAAGAAGAAGCGTGTCGAGCACATATGTGGGCGATCTCGTCGAAAACGAATTTGCCGAGCACATCTGTGGGCGATATCGTCGAAAGCAACTTTGCCGCGCACATTTGTGGGCGATCTCGACGAAAGCGACGTTGCTGCTCACATCTGTGGGCGATATCGTCGAAAGCGACTTTGCCGCGCACATCTGTGGGCGATCTCGTCAGGAGCGAGCGAGTCTCCCCCATGCATCTGTAGGCGGTGAGAGCAAGTGGTATTGCCATGGCAACGTAGCTCTCGGAAGCCTCTGTCTTGGTAGAGCTGTTGCAGTGTATTTAGCTGCCAAACGTTCCAGGTTTTATTCATGCACTAATCACAGAAATCTAATATGTTCATAGAGTCTTCGTAAATAGTAAATACCTGACCGCGCAATTGCGAATTTGTCGGGATTGGGGCTGCGTGTCGCTCTGCACAAACATAGAAAAGGTTTCAATAAAAATGCTGCGCGATTCATTGAGGAGTTTTATGCTTCTTGGATAATCTCATATATACCGATTGATTTTTGGTTAACTGCATGTACAAAACTGCTGCCATCGATCTAAAATTATCTGTTGCATATTAGTGCTACTGATGATTTAAGGTTAAATACTGCATTGAATTTCAGTGGTTGAAATTATTTCGACTAATTTCAGAACCCACTTCTAACCATGGATCAAAGGCTGCATTTATCAGCATCAGTTGATTTCGGGTTATTTGCTATCATTAACTGCACCGTTTCATTCCGTTTTCCACGGCTGCAATCAACTGCATTGCTTGATTCTGGTGTGAAAATATTATTTAGTTGTCTCGTTTAGTTGAACGTTTTATTTTGCGACGTTGCAGTCGATTTTTTGTTGTTGAATGATAACGGTTAGCTATCGACCGCTAAACTGAAATGCACAAATTACCGCTTGCCACAGTTGACGATAAAACTTGATCTGCATACTACGGCTTAAGATGTGGTCGCCATTAAAGGAAAATACTACGAGGTCATGGTTAGCAATACAACCAGGCGTCGTCTTAAAAATTAAGAGCAGTGTCTCACGATCCTAATATTTCTATTTTTCTCGTACTCGATCTCCAAGAGTTGTTATAGGTCTTACTTTTATGATCCCGATCGCCAGGTTTTCTTGCCTTCGTCATGAGTTGTCAAATTACACGAGAGTTACACATATCCTGCTCACTAGGTTTTCTAGTGTTCGTCTAGAATCTTCATGTCTCACGTTTATGTTCTTCAGAATCATGATTGCGATCCAGTGAACAACAATAAAAATTGATAAATCCTTCCATGTTGGTTTCGGATTTCAGAAATCATTGCAAAGTTTTAGTCGCTGTCTAAATTGTTGTCCTAATGCACCTCCTGCTTTTCCATACAGCGCGTTAAATATATCTTCAAACTTGATGTTATTAATCCGTTATTTCAGATCGTGACAGTTGATGTCTAAAGTAAATGAAGTACCGTAATATCTTGAATAGGTACTTTGTATAAGTGAAATGTATTTGTGTTAGTGAAATGAAGTAAATCGTTATGAATGTAATCTGGGAACGACAGCACGCGGTCCTTGTGTTCAAGGTGATGCAGGGTCTAAGGCAGATCAATGTTGAACAAAACTAACCCTTTATGTTAATCATTGATGATAAACGCTTTATACGCTTCGTGTATACAGCTGCTGGAGAGCTATGGCCGCAAGCGCTTTCTCCGAATACATCTGATTCGTGTGGTGCCTTCACCTTCAAGGCCTGGCTGGGTAGAGCTGCTGCTGTTGCTGCTGTGGCCGTTGCTGCAACTGCTGCGTCCGTTGCTGCAGCTGCTGCTGCGGCCGTTGCTGCAGCTGCTGCTGTTGCTGCTGCGGCCGTTGCTGCAGCTGCTGCTGTTGCTGCTGCGGTCGTTGCTGCAGCTGCTGTTGTTGCTGCTGCGGCCGTTGCTGCAGCTGCTGCTGTTGCTGCTGTGGCCTTTGTTGCAGCTGTTGCTGTTGCTGCTGCGGCCGTTGCTGCAGCTGCTGTTGTTGCTGCTGCGGTCGTTGCTGCAGCAGCTGCTGCTGCGGTCGTTGCTGCAGCTGCTGTTGTTGCTGCTGCGGCGGTTGCTGCAGCTGTTACTGTTAATGCTGTGGCCGTTGCTACAGCTGTTGCTGTTGCTGATGTGGCCGTTGCTGCAGCTGTTGCTGTTGCTGCTGTGGCCTTTGCTGCCGCGGCTGTTGCTGCAGCTGCTATTGCGGCCGTTGCTGAATCTGTTGCTGATGTTGCTGATACTCTGCATGGCCCTCTCGGATGCGCCCTGCATTGCTATCTTACTACAAAAATCTTCAACGCTTCGAGCTTTCGTATTTCCTTGAGTAATAATAAGCTTAAACATTTATGATAAAAACACTTAATCAAACAAATTAATTCGTCCGGTGCAGGAGCGCAGCAGCAGACCTGAAGATGACCGACGTCGCCGGACCATCCTGGTGCAGCGCGAGAACGGTTCCTTCGGCTTCACGATTCAGGTGAGATAACTTGCCAGCATTAAGACCTCAAGATCTCCCCAGGCAACACGTACCCCGAGTTCGTTTTAGGGACCTTTGACGGCGACCAAACCCTGCCAGCTAGTGACACCGAGAAATGAAATGAGCTTACCGATGCTCGAACCCACGGCTTGCTCCTCTGATCTCGGTTTTGCTGCCACGTACTGCGCAGAGAGTGAAACTAACCACTGCTCTACAGTGAGGTCAATCAGTAGCTGACGTCACCCGTCGGCCTTTTGCTTAGGCCGACGCTGTCATCATCCCCCATTTAATAACCGAGCCGCGGCCAGAGTACAGACTCTTCGTGAGGGATCACTGTCCGTGGTAGTACCGAGGCTCTTTAATGCCTTGCCAAAAGCGCTGAGAGGAGGGGAGTTTACCTTTGCAACATTCAAGAGACAACTGGACAAGTGGTTGAGAAAGATCCCGGATTGTCCAGTAATGGGAAACTACCATCAGCAAGCGACAAGCAACAGCATCTTGCATCAGCGTGCCCAAATGAGGGCAAATAGACGGAACACGTCCAACGTTACATCCGACGACGACTCGGAGACGGAGGACGACGAAGGCGGCGCATCAGCGTGACCTGGGACTAGGAAGTCCCGAACTCATCATAAGGTCATAAGGTAAGGTAAGGTAAGGAGTGCGCTGCTGCTGTTGATGAAGTGCGCTGCTGCTGTTGATGAAGTGCGCTGCTGCTGTTGATGAAGTGCGCTGCTGCTGTTGATGGAGTGCATGTGTGTACAGAGCCGGCATGCGAGAGGGTGAGGTCACGTCACTGTGTGTGTACAGAGCCGGCATGCGAGAGGGTAAGGTCACGTCACTGTGTGTACAGAGCCGGTATGCGAGAGGCTTAGGTGTATGATATGGATTAGTAGTGTATGACTCGTATTGTTTTATGATTCCTGTGGCCTACAAAGTCCTCGCCGTGTGAGACGTATACCGTTTTTTTTTTCAGGACTAATATGACCCGAGATCTTTTATGACTCTTCCGAGTCCCCTTATGTGATCCTATATTTATTCACGTGACTGCGTACCCGCTGTTTTCTGTTAATTCACGTTACTACGTATCCGCAGTTTTCTGTTAATAAACGTGACCACGTACCCGCTGTTTTCTGTTAATGAACGTGACTACGTACCCGCTATTTTCTGTCAATTCACGTGACTACGTAACTGCTGTTCCCTCTTGATTTGCCTGACCATAAATTAGCTAATATCTCGGTGGCCGTGACGACTGGAGTGCCTGTTGCAGGTGACGTCATCCTGTCCATCAACGGCCATGACATGGAGAAGGCTGATCACAAGACGCTCGTAAACTTCATCCAGCACTGCGGAGAGCGTATGCGAGCTGTCGTACTCTTCGAGAACTGCGTTCACAAGGTTACTAGGCATGCCAAGTAATGAGTATTAGATTAACATATAGCCTTGTATATATACGTCGTAATCATGTATGCATGTAGTAGGGCAAATCCGTAACTCTAAGGTTCCTTGTTAGGCTTTGATGCAAAAGGGAATGCCTGCTGCAACGGCACATTGGGTTGAAGGTTTTAAAATTTATATTTCAGTTGCATGCTCCCGAGGGTCAAGAGTTTCTGCAACCTCACTAAATGAATTTAATTCATCGAGGCGAAAATATCGTTATTTAATTCAGCCGCAGCGAGTAATTTTCATTTGTGCCTGGCACACTTCAGTGCGTGTAGAAAGCGGTGCCCGTGTCTGGAAAGCCTCTTCTCACTAGCGTCTCTAACCACGTTACTTTCGTTTATTGTTGGAATTCGCTTTAAATCTCATAGCCGAGCAAAGACTTTGATTTGAATCGTCCAGATAACTAACAACTTGATCACATTTCATGAAAGTTCAGTTACTAAAATCACTCGCGTCATGCTTGATAAACTCTCGCGTGGAGGATTTTGATTTTTAAGCGTTCTACTTCGTGGATCTCAATTGCTACGCGACTGATGTCTATTTCAGGCAGAGCAAGAACGGTTGGAATCACCATAATTATGTCTACACTGTGAATAATTCACGATTCCAGTAGAAAATAGTACATTTTTTATTTGAAGAATGAGATTTTGCCGAAAATGCAGAAACTTTTTATCCCTAATACCTAGATAACAATGTAAAACGAACCGTATGTTTCGGAAAATTTTCTTATAAGAACCATTTCTACAACATCGGAAAATTTATGGGATTTTGGCTGTTCAGGTTGACCTGCACCTTCGCTACATCAGACTGCAGCGGATGCTGCACGATCGCTTGCTCGAGCTGGAGCGCTTGTGTCACCAAGAGAAGGCTCTGCTCGCTGGTAAGTGCAACTCGCGACTTATGTCTCCTCGCTCCCCGTCGTCTGCGTCAGCGTTGCCGGCAGGAGCCACTGGCCTTCCAGCCAACTTCGTTGAGGCCCACAGGAAGATGTTATCTTGGGTGCATTCGCAGCGGCGCTTGCTGCCCCCTCCAAAATTCATGTTTTGTCTAAGTGATAAGAAGTTTCCTAACAGAGACGTGATCAGCGGAGAGATCGTCCGCCCTGAGATGCTGTGCAGCGTAGGTCATCGCCCACGATCCATCCTGCACAACACGCCCTCCTGCAGCGGTGGTAGTCATGGCTCGTCTGATGAAGGAGGCAATGTGAAAAACAAGAGCAATGAGAGGACAAACTCTCTTCGATGTCCTCACTCGGGCAATCATCCTGGTTCTAATATAGAATTCCGGAGTTTACCTGACCAGGGTAGCTTGTCTAGTGAAGATAATCGGAGTCCTTTGACTTTAAGTTCTTCTTCAAGAGATGCGAACACCGACACCAATACCAATAAACGGTCTCGTCACAGATTGTGTCCCTCAGATCACTCAGTTCCCACCACTCCCAGCTTGTCCCCGAATGCTCGCTCTCCTTCTATCCTCAAGCGCTCTGACTCGAGTCCGAAAATTCCTCAGAGCGCTTCTATGGAGCTCGTGAATGAAGGGTCTGTGTCTAAAGCGCCCCCGGCGCTGGCAGACCCGCCCCGTCGCTCGGCTCTCAAGAAGCACCGCGCCATTTACGGCTCTGAAGCGTATCCTGAGGTTGAACTCCAGCGTAGTAGCCCGGATGGGTGTAGTCGCATTGCGCCGCATAGTAATAAATCGTTGAATAATTACAGCAATGACTTGTCCATGGATTACCCACTGAGCTCCCTGAAGTTCTCTTCCGTCCCTAATTCTTGCTCAAGTTGCAATCAAAGTCCGTGTTGTAGTTTTGATTCGTACAACAGCGTCAATATTTCTCCCCGCTACAGTAGCGATGCCGAATCTCACTCTTCTCAGAGCAACGCACACGGGATTGAATCCCATTTCTCGCCGATGCTAAAATCTTACGAGCAGCTGCTTCTGGATCAGTCCGTTCACAGAAGCGCTTTAAGCGACGAAGCTAACAAAACATTAGAAGCAGTCGAGAACGATCTGCGCGAACTTTGCAATCTGCCTAGGACGAAGCACCTTGTAGGAAGTAACCACTTCAGTTCATCCCTCACTCGGCAAGACTCAACACCCGGGAATCTCGATGAGAATTCGTCAAAACCTCGCTTTAGTCGACTGCACGGGTCTTTGAAGCGGCGTTCAGAAAAATCCAGCAAACCGGCGTTCGATCGAACTCGGTCTGCTGTAGACTTAACTTTGAAAAATGAAGAAAATTTCACCACAGCCTCTGAACTCGCACGGAACATGAGTTCTGGCAATATCAATTACAAAGAAGACGTCAATTTTTTCAATGATAGGAACATGGAGTCGATTGGTCGTTCAATTTCAGCTAAGAGTTTGATTCTAGGTGATACTACAAGTAACGATTCGTCTCGGAAAAATTCCACGGTCTATGAATATTGCACTTCCAGTCTACCCAAACGTCGTAACGTTCGAAATTTCCGCAACTCGCTGGACGAACCTTCACCTCCAACCACTCCAGGCAACTTCCATGCTGAAGACTCTGTAATTGCATCCAAGACCCCCAGCTTTGACCAGGCGGTCCACTACATGCGTGAACAATACCATCGTCAGCACGAATCTTTGGCTCGCCGCCGGCAATCGGTGGGTAGCAAGACTAATCAATTTTCATCTTTGCCATACTGTGCCGGGTATAATAAACCTTCACCCGAAGCGAGAGGAGCTGGAAGTGACGTGTCATATCGGAATGCGGGAATGACCGATGTGTTCAAAGGCTACCCTGGAGATATGGCCTACTCGCCAAGTGGAGCGCACCACTTCTGTGGACAAACTTCTGGAGGCAAATTTTTCCAAGGGAGCCAGCAATATTACTACCATAAAATGTTGTCAGACCATTATGATCCTGGAATACAAATGAGTGGCAACATGTCGCGGCCACTGGCATACCACCAAGTTCAGGAACGAACTGCCGTTCCTTCGAATGCTGATACTTTTGAAAGATTTACAGCAGCTACTCCTAACCACCACTGCCATGATCCTGGCTGTGGTCAGTGCGGCGACGCACGCTTCGTCGGTGCTCCCGTAGAAAGCCAAAAGGACATTACCATACCGAATTATTTCAGCAATAATAGTAAAGGTTCAGTAATTCCTGCGAGCCTGATGCCGCGTTACCAAATTAGGAACGAAGAACCGTCAAAACATTTCAATGACTTGGGAAAAGAAAATTTAGTTCGGATGGATTCGCGTTACGGCACGCAGCATCCTAACAACATAGCTCGTGATACTCCTTGTTCGTTGGGATGTACTCACGAACCTCAGTCAGTGAACATGTTCTATGGACACGAATTTCACGGCAGTTGTCAGCCCACCACTCCAACTAACAAGGAAGTTCATGGCCCAACGAATGCAACTTTTGGTCAAGCTATTCCATGTTGCGACCATCACCGACCACAGTCGTTCCAAAATTTTGGATGCAACGGGCGGGCGCATAAAGTTCCAACTAGCATGGACCCGCGATCAAACCGTCGTCCTTCACAACATTACTCTCACGACCAGACCGATGACTCGACCAATGCACCGACAACTTGGTCTTGGGAACAGCGCATAGCAGATGTAGAGAAATCTTACCCAGACGGTGGGGCGTGGTCTGCGAGCTCTGCTGAGTCCAATGAATTCGTCAAGCATCAGTTACAGCAGCGGCGCTTTACGAGGGCAGATTCTACCGGGGCCGAACGTTTTGAAAGCCACGCTCAAGGGTGCGCCCATTTCGGGCCTCAAGCAGCTGCTTCAAATCGCGAGATGCAAACGAAATTAGCTGACGCAAACCGCCGACGTTCATTAAGCAAAGAGTTAGCGGGATTAGCCTTGGATGGACCTCCACGGCGCACGATTAGTTGTTTACCTACGAACATCGTTCGCAACGCCTTCATCAGCCATGATCCATCCTACAAGCTTCTCAAGCACGATCCTGACGACGAGTCGTCGGAGGCTGGAACTGCAGCAACATCGGCAGACAAGACAACCTACCGCTACGTGTAGGCGTTACAAGATGCCAACCCCTACTCGGCTGGTCGGTAATTTAGCACAATCTTTCTATTTGTTTCGTGGTAACATCTTTATTACCTTTTATTGTCCTCTCACTGTCTGCTTCGTCCCGCACGAGAACCACCCAGCGCAACACCTGCTCTTGAATTTTCAGTGTCATTTATTAGAATATTGTAGAGCATATTTTATTTTTGGCTCTATTCGTCACTTCTTATGAACCACTAAGGAAAGCGACCATTGCAAATGCACAACCTGCATTTTGTCCTTCTTCCATTTAACCGCATTTGTTACTTCATGTCGTGTACTTTCTTCGATATTATACATTCATCTTAAGATCTCATTACTAATTTTCGCTTACACGTTTTTAACTCTATATTGTTATTTAAAACTTCGCGTGACAATAATTCAATCTTCGATACAATTATTGGTAAGAGTATAAGTGATGGAATATATTCAGACGCTGTCAAACGCTGTCTAGTGCTTCTCTGCTCACGGGTACACACGTGCCTCTGAAACGAGGTCGCAAAATTTAATCACTGTTGGAACATAACGTTTTCCCCTTTTCCGTGTAGACATACTAAAAACCTTGACGCGAATGCTTTCCAAATCATCATTTATGACTTTACGTGCTGGCTGCAGACGTTAAGGTGCTTGTACACGGGAATAGTGCAGACGGCTAGTAAATCTGGCAAGTGTCGGTCGCTTGGTGACTATCCGGCAAGTAAGCCTGTACACGACCACGAGGATAGTATAAGGCGCCGCTATCTTCTCGTTCGCGCCAGCCAGTGCGTCGATAGGAGCCGTCGAGCGAGGTCTGTGAAGATGGATAGTGCGATCACCTTCAACAGCTCGAGTCTGTACGTCGTTTTTATATTCTTTATTCTAGCCCTTTAAAATGCAACGTCGGGAACAACTAAACCCTGACTAATAAGGTCTTCTTTTTGTTTCAAAATACTCGTTTCTCTCTTCATTTTGTTGCAATAACCATCATAGCAAACATTCCACTTTAATTTATATTTTTGGAATGTTTCAAAGAATAATTGTATATCGTCCGGAATTCACTTTGTTCGGTTCTTCTTAGAATCATTATCGTTCAAACAAGATATGATTCACTTGACCCAAGATACTTCACAAGAGCGGCACAGATGCTCTCACCATGGCAGCATCAGCGCTGCTAGCCACTTCTCCAGCGAAGAAATTATATATATCATCATTATTATCATCATTATTATCATTATTATCATCATTATTATCATTATTATTATTATTATATCGTTGTCCCTCTCGGCCGCGTCTCGGGCACTTGCCGGCGCATGTCTCTGAAACGGCTGAACCCCTATACACGAGGCTAGTAGCGTGGACAGTTCAAGCGGCGGATGAACTAGCGGCTAGTACAATCCCTGTGTACAGGTACCTTTAACTCCCCTCAAAGCGATCGCTGTGTAACTTGAGGTCTTGCCAGTCTTCTTGACAAGATCGATGAAGGCTACGAACGAACACATCGCTTCAGTGCTCACATCCCCTGCACCTCGAGATAAACTTCCTAAACTATGAGTGCAGCTTCTTAAATTTCCCATTAACTCAATTGTTGTCACAATAATGGACTCACATGTTTCTGGTGTGGTGACCGATGTGTTGAGAGCTACCTATATTGTGAATAAATTTCCTGATCGCTTTACATTTATCTTGGAATGTCAAGAAGGTAAGCGTTCAGTTTTAATTGCATTAAAATACTACTTGATTTCATGTCATCTGTAGTTTCGTGTCTGGATCAATAGGTGCCTTAATTTTACTGATCATCTCGTTTGTTGAATCAAGATGATGCTTATTTTTCTTTGGGGTCGCTGTGCTACGTGGTGTCTGTCTCTTGGTGGACCGACACGCGAGACGTGAAGGTAGAACAAAGTATTTTACTCTGACTATGCCTAGAAATTTTTTGGAAATTCTTTTCGCAGTTGGTTCCTCGGAATGCAAGTTTAATTTACTTCGCTCACTTAAAAAATTTTTGATATGAACTTTCATCGGTATTTACTGCTTTGTGAGCTGACGAATAATTCTTAACTCTTATTATTTATAAAGAAGCTACATAATTTAAAAGTGGTGTATTTCTCATGTAATCCAGAGTCGGCATTATGAAATGTTTTTAACTAGATATTTCGTTTACTATTAGGTCTGATAAACATAGCTCATGCAGGCAAGTGAAACGTAAAAAAGTAGAATTACGTTAATTAATGTTAAGAATTGCTGGAGGCTTTGTGCATGCATCACTCAACATCGCGGGAGGCGGCAGTTTGAATGCGTCTGCAAAACTCGAACTTGTTTTTTCTTTTCTCAGCCTCTTTGTGTAAATATTCAATTGTGTTCAAGTACTGGAACCTTTAACATCATTTCAGGATTTTTTTATTTGTTTTCCTTGAGCAACGAATAATTTTTTCATTTCCCTAGATGAAAAACTACTTACTTCTCAGTGTTTCTCAATATAATTTCTGAACCCTGTCTCATGCTGGAGGAATGATCTATGTTTTTTATCTATTTTATTTTTATTCCACTTATGATCGTTGCATTATTTCCTTTCTAACGGTTCTTGATGCTTCGCCATTTACGCGCTTGTGAAGGACGAGCGTAAGCTTGAGCGCTACAGACGCATTCTTATCACACAATATATTATTATTATTAATATCACTCAATATATTTGCGTGTCTACTCTGTCACTGATATTTCGTTCGTTGGTCCACCAATTGATGGACACCATCGAAGGGGCGAGTTCTCTCGGGCCATGTCTCAGTGAAGGATTCTTCTTCTTATTTTAGGTTATTTTCACGAGTTTTGCTTCATGCGGTGCATTTCAAATCTCAAATTCTCGGATAAATTTTGTTTAATGGACGATTTACAATAATTTAATTTCTAATTAATGACGGTGACAGATATTTCTCGAGAATAGTACCTTTATTTTAACTTTGTTTGGTTTGAAGACTGCCGGATAAACAGTTTCAATCTGTGTCTTATTTTGAAAATTAACCACGAAGGTAATACCAATGCGCTTTATCCGTGCATTTAAGTTCAGCGACATACTGGATATATATTTTCAATGGTGAAAAAAGTTAATAACATTCATCCTTCCTTTACATTATGGAAGCCTTAACGGACGATAATTGAAGTTTGATAACAATTCCGATGATGTGACTTCTCGACGACTATAGCAGCGGAGTCTTTCCATGACAAAGTTTACAACGAAGGAGTGAATCAATCTCTCATTTGCGCCTCTATCGAAGATTATTAATCGTTTTCACGTGGTACAGATGTTTTTTGTAAAGTTTTATCGAATTTATAGACAATCAAACGCGAATTTTACTTACAATTGAGTATTACGTTGGTTTTCTTTATGAATTTAAGTAAAAACAGACACTGCAAGACACTAATTATAATATCATCTGCAATACCTATTAATCCTCACATATAAATGTTAAAATACCGATTTCAAAAACTTTTAAAATACCTAAATAAACCAGAATGTTTTCCTTGATGAAGGTAAAACAAAGTTTACTCCATTTAACACTCAACGATTAAATTAGTCGTAGTCGCGTTCCTTATGCCAGTGAGCAGGCTTATTTGTACATTGTAATCATCTTTATTTTTTAGCGTCTCTTGAGTATACGCAAGATTAGCTAATTTTTCTTTCACTGAGATGTGGCTTTTGTATAAAAGTTAATTCAAAATATAATGGCTGCTCTACCACCACCGCATGTTGATGTGCATTGCGCATGCCTCTCTACACATCGTTTGGTTCGTGTCGATACATAAACCTGTGTACTCCTCCAAGCATGTGTCTTGTGCACAACCATACAATGGGTCTTTTGCGTTCAAGCCAATAAAGGGACAAGCAAATATCCCGTTTGAATTTCATTGTTCTAAAGCAGGAGCCTCCAAATTTTTTTCGCCAAGAGCAAGCTTTCTGAAACATTCGCGGGCCGGTCACGCACCTTGATTGTTTTTAGTTCATGCGAAACCAGAAATAAACGTCACGCTCGATTTTTGTACATATTATGTTGAATTATAAGATATCCTCGGCGGGCCGGATGGAACCTAGCCGTGGGCCGGATCCGGCCCGCGGGCCGTAATTTGGAGACCCCTTTTCTAAAGTATAACATATATGCCCTGCACCCGCGGGGACATATGCCACACCGGCCCTGGGGATGGCGCTGAACGCAAATGACTCGTACGATCCGTGCGACTGGATCTGCTGGTGGTTGTTGATGATGCGTTAAAATTGTCCGGCGCCTGTATAAACCTAAGTGTTCAGTGTGTGGGTGAAACAATCAATATATCATTGCATTTGTACATCACTTAATACCGGGCTTACATTTTATGCATTCTTGCTATTGGAAGGCATTGGATTCTCAGAAAATTTGTTACCTCCCCTACTATTATTAAAGAAGATATTTGATGTTTACAAGACTTCAACGTATTTTATCATTTATAAGATGTAAGTTCAACATTGGTTATATTTTCGATTATTTTTTCATTTATTGCACAAATCAAGGCACATGATTTACAACATTCTCATTGGGGAGAACAAGTCAGAATGCCGAATTACAAATACATTTTTTTCCAATCTTTTTTAAATCGAATTAGATTGGTCTGTACAATGAAATTGAAAACGAGGCAAACTTGACGAGTTTGATTGATATTTTACGCTAAAGTGGCTTAAGATTCACCAAACACTGCTGAATAAATTAGTTCTTCACGACTGGAGTTGAGACATAATGTTTCCAGATGCCAGCGTGAAAATGAACTCGCCTTGAAATTATTATTATATTCAGGCTAAATTTTCGGTCTGTGTACCACGTGAGAAGTGATGACTCTTCAACAGCACATGTACATTCTTGCAGGACTTGTCCTAAACGCACATCTGCTGTCATTCATGTATATTTTTACGTACATCCATATATACACGTAGCTGTTAGCTCAATTGTTGTTCAGATCCATTTCACCATCGTACTTGTCCCCTTAAATATCCCGTGGCCGTTTCTCGCGGTAACTTTGCACTGGTGAATACTTATCCATGTTCTAAAAGTTATGGACTATTAAGTAAATTAATCATTATTGAACTAACAGAATTGACAATATCATTTTATTTACCAGCAAAATAAATCAGTGGATATATGCTTTCCACGTCTGGTTCTTTCACTGATGAATTCGATATTTACAGTGTGGCGTGCTCAAGGACTCCGTCTTCCTACCGATCTTGGATTGAGTGTTCATAACTGCGCCGCGGCTCCCTCATCTAATATCAAACAGAAACAAGCGTCGCAGCCGCAGCAAGAAACTCGTCAGCACCAGCGCTACCACTCACAGCACTATCCCAGAGAGCAGCAGCTTGCTCAAGATCAAGCGATCTTGCAAGTTGTACAGCAATACCCGAAAGTTTTGCAATCCGCCAGTGAAACCTGCAGTGCCCGCAACACCAAGAGCTTTCCTCGGTCCAACAGCGGCGTACTAGCGCTTGGCAGACGAGCTATCGTGACGCACGGCGAAACGGCAGTGCCGTGTCGCGTGACGCTTTATGGCGCCGACACGATGGGCGTCGAGAAGGGGCTGGAGACTCTTGTGCCTCCTCCACAGTTCCGGCTAGTGCCTGTCAATCCTCCGGCCGCGGCATCTTGGCATCTTAAGGTAACTGCCGGGCAAACTGAACAGCGGCTTCGGTGTACGGGTGCTGAAACAGGATCCTCGAGGAAAGGAGTTCCTGATGGGAACTGGCAGCATGCAAAACCCAAATCGTGGGATAATTTACTCTCTACGAAGTCGTTCGGGGGCTACGGGTTTGGTTATAGTTTCATCGATATAAACTCGGCTCGCGCCGCGTCCAAAGCTTTGCCTGGTGCTCGGTCAGTCTCAACGAATCGATTAAATGAAGATTCTGCGAAGACAGAGCCCGCCGGGAGCATGGTTGAGGTCTGGTCAGGAAATGAAGGCAGCCGAACAGTTCCTCGTCACATGAAAACGACCTGCGCGAATGTATCAACGACTTCTACAGGCGGAGCATCGTCTGCCGAAAACCTCTTATCTCCTCCAGACTTGTCTTCTTGCTTCTCATGCGATTGCATGGGCCTGGAGCACGTACCACTTGAAACCTGCATGTTTAGTAAACCCAAGAGCACTGAATCATTGCTTGCCAATCCAAACCTGCACTCGACGGCGTCCGAGACGAGCATTCCTGACACTTCTCTGGTCACCCCGACACCTCAGAGACGTCGGTCCCGCACCTCCTCGCTCGCTCATTGTCTCGGCAAGAGATCTCCTCCTGACGAGCTAACTCACCTCTAATCAATCAACAATCCAGGCGAAGCCTTCATTTTCAAGGTAACGTTCATACCTTAATATTTAACTTGTTGGTATGAATCGAATATTATTCACGATTAAAGAGACACCAATAGGCATCTAGCGTTGTGAGTGCGTGTGTATGTTTAGGACCTTCATCACAAAAGAGCCTCATTGTGCGAAGAGTTCCGTAATTCAAGTAATGACACGCGATCAAACAGGTTGTTTGTTACGGCAATATTTTGATTGTTTGATTTTCTAGATACTAGAGGAATCTAGTATCAGTATCAAATACGTGCATTGTCAGTTATTCTCTGCTGCTGTCGCCAAGTGGTTTATTTGTATTAGTATATCATTGTAAGTAGTGATGTTTAATGTTTCATGTCATCGTCGTCAAGGCGTAAAGGTTCAATGTTAACGCAGTATTATTACTTCCGAAGCGTTTGAGTTATTTTCACTAATTTAATTGGTTGTACGAGTCTAACAAGAATTGTGCACTGGGTAACAGCCAAACACTAAAATTATTAGTAGAGTAGCGGTGCTAATTTGATTAAATTCTACCACATTCTCTGTTAAAACATCCTCTAGAATTTGATTACCTTAGTATTGTTTATTATTGTCACATGTGTCGTTGGAAATGATCTAACATGGCTGGAGTGACTCCGTAGCCTTAAGTCAATGTTAATTGAATAAGGTGACCCTACTGTTGTGTAAAGGTGGAAAATATAACCCTTATCCCTCGATTGCTTAATGCTACTGTTAATCTTCACGTGGCTTTCAGTGTTGTTAATATCTACAAGAGACAATTGGTTATTCTCTGCCAATGACAACTGTTGCAACAGAGCTGAATCGAAGTCTAGTCAAGAAATGATTCTATACTACATTTGTTCCTCAGTACGCAAGTCGATCACTGTTCTGATATCGTCAAACTGCCCTGCTATTTTGTCTAGTCTTTCTAATCCTAGTCACTTGCAACAAATTAGCATCTAGGTTTAAGATAATTGAGAATGATTCAGTAGGCGTCAGTTCTTCTTATTGTGCTTATAAAATGAAAAACCAGTGTTACCATGTTAGTGTGTTAATTATCTTCTATTAATTTTAAGACTATTTTAAATAATAGCGAGCTGTGTTGTGCAAAAGTTTCAACGTTCGTTTATAATTTAATCGCTCTCCCTCACCTTGAATTAGAAGAAGTTAGAAGGTCAATTTTCACAATCTATTTACTTGAAATTAATTATCTTTCGGTAGGTTTCAGACCTTGCATCAAATTTTCGGACTCTTCAGTTCAGGAACTGTGACATACTTTCTAAACTATCGGTGAAGGTGACAAATTTTCAAGTCTGGCAGGAATAGTATTAGCGAAAAAAGTCATGATGGTAGTTAAGAGTTAATATTGTGACCCGTGTTCAAATATGCACATTTGAATGCATATTTACCACAAATATGTCAATGTTGTTCCTAGGGGCCAAATATCGTTACGCATGACTAGACATGAACGCAAGCTAAATATCAGTGCATGTGGCCATAAGAGCTCTGCCTGACGACGACTTGAATCATAATTCGACTTCTTGTATGATCCACTCGGGGGATTTCACCTCCGGAGGGGAATCGGGGGATTTCACCTCCACTACCAATGAAGTTACTGTTATTGTGAGCATCGCTACGAAACTTGCTATAGTTTCCGCCTATGTTCCTCGTATGTGCGTCCTCATCCGTCTTAGTCTCGTTGAAATTACTCAGATTTTCCGTATGTGTCGGACGGCGACCATCATGTTAAATACATTTGGTTTAGCTGTTTGGTCCAGAATGGCAGTTATAGGATCGCATAGCAAAGATGATATTTTTTGTTAAATTCACTTTCATAAGCAATATCCACGTCTTCGCGGATTTAATAGTATCTATGATACATTTATAACATAACCTACCCAACAGGACGCTATAATTTTGCAAGCAATGAGGAGTCGAACGATACTCCCGTTCGCGTTTGCTACCGGTCTGTTTCATTCCAAAAATTTCATTGACGGAGTTTATTGCTGGCTAATTTCTTATGTTTCACATTTGAGGTCTTCTAAGGAAATTCTTACTGAGTTCGCTTTTGGGACATCTGTATCTCGAACCCCGTTTTTTCTTGTCGCAACTCTCCATGTATTGAATATTTCTTGCTTGAGATTCATTCTCCCTATCGTCGTAGTCTGTTTAGAAACACTTGTATTTTTATGTGGCCTCTCCTTGTATATTTAAATTAATGCGATATAGAAAAAAATTTATTAGGTTGTTCCTGGGAATAGTTTTTTCAGAATTTAAATTAATTTCTGAATTAATTTTTGCGCAAGAAAATTCATTCTTATCCACGAATTTAGCCTTACAGATCGTTATTTTTCCTACAATCAGTTTGCATTCAAATCAAGAACTGTGTTGAAAAACAAGTAGGTGATTATGTGACAATACAGATGCGTTAGTATGGTGGTAATAAAAAAATATCTTTTTATACATTCTTGGCCTCATTACACCTTGCAAGAGTATGACCAAATTCAAGACGCCAAATTTGCTTCTAAGGATGCTATATACTCTTTATTATTATAGTATGTGTATTTATTGTATTGACTAGTCGAGTTGCCAACAGTCGTGATTACTTGTGGCCGAACTCGTGTGTTGTTAACTTGGAATAGAATCGATCCTATATAGTGAAGTGTCACCACGACTGACTTGCCGAAAACGCGCTTTACGATCCTTTGGCAGTGGAGTCGAGATATTGAAAGAAATTATTAAACAAACGGCACGCATGTTTAAACTTATATATTTACCTTATATTTTAATACAAACAAATGAACAACACTAATAAGAACGAACATTTACAGACTTATTCCAAAAAACTGGCAATATGAAGCTGCGTCTCATCAGTTGTTAGCTAGCGAGAAAGCTTCAATTCAACTTATAGACTTCTAAACATTTCACTGGTTGAGATTATTATGTGAGAGCTTCAGTAACGGTATTATTATAAATGCAACTGGAGTTTGGCATGGGTGTGGAAACTTAAAAACACAGAATCGCCGACTACGTCCAGTAAACCGAGCGAGGCCAATGAAGAGGAATCGATGTCGCGAGCAAAAATGAAGTGGCTTTATAATAAATAATTCTTCATAATATTTATGCGCACACTAAATCAAAAAGTTATTACTAGCAAAATAAGAATGCAATTTCTGCCTCTGAAATTCAAAGATCATATATGTTGCCATCACAAAACTAAAAAATTCCTATTGACCACTGAAATTACGATTAATAAAATTTTTAATAACCTAAAAGAGTTTACAAATTTTATTTTTCAAATAGCGTTCGCATGGCGTTCGATGCGTGTGTATCAGATTAAAAAGGGTCATAAACAACTTTGAATATTACTACGGGTAGCCGGGACTTGGCTATTTAATTTCAGAATCTGCTATTTAATATATAAGAAATAGAGAGGAAAGATGCTGACAACATGAGAGGAGACAGACGCAGCGTGTTAGCAGGATTGCAGCCGTCGTCGTTGCAGGTAAGGATGCAGCCCGAGAGCTCCTCGTTCTCGAACTTGAAGAGACCGCACTGTGAGTCCATGTTCTCCAGCACGCATATTCTGATCATGAGTGTCACGCCCGTACGAGCTGCAACACCAAGATTTTAAAGGTAATTTCATGTTTTTCTCAATGGATGTTCCTGCATTTATATTTTATATTAAATTCCATTGTTATGAACCTCGATTGTCAATGAGTTTAATTAATGGCATGAATAATTTGAATATTGTGCTGAAACTTCGCGGATCATTTCAGCTGGCAGTTTACTTACTTGACTGTCCTGTAATTTTCACGCAGAAATTAGCAGGAAATCGACCGATGTGGTTCTTTTTCCCGACTTGACAGCTGCTGGCATAAGTCGAGTGACCAGGGTGGAACGGATCTTCGCAGTAGGGATCACTGCCATTTTTACTCGAACAAATGTAGCATCCTATGCCATTCACTCCTAGAAAATTAAATCATTCATTGGTTACGATTACATATTTTGCGAGCCGTACAACATGCTCCATAAAACGTAAAGTGAGACCGAAATATTTTAAATTATGCCGAATCTTCATGGTCTACATGACTCATAAGTTCATAACATTTATTTTTGCTAGTCATTTATAGACATTTAATTATACTATTCAATTACACATGAAAAACTCATTTTACCGAAAGGTAGTTGAAATACGAAGAAAAGTAGCAATACCGAGGCTGAGAACAGTTCAGTTGGGAAACAATGAGCCATGCTTGCACTTGTCTCGCTTAAAATGCTCTCCGTCGTTCATGTGCTAGAGAACCACACAACTTCAATGATTTTGATGATATTATTTTTCAAGATTATAAGTTAAAATAATTGCTAGCACAAATTTTCCATGTATTTAGAAAGTTGATCATTCAGATCACACACCTAAAAAAATCTTCATATAATTTCATTCTGCTCACTAGTAACTTTCTTTATTGTAACTCGCGTAAAAATTCGCTTCTGTTAAATTTACATTATTTTCGGGCTCAAAAACTAGATCTATTTTTGAACAGAAATAGGTGCACTTTATTTTAACAGACGTGGTTAATTTTTGATGGTATAGAACATTCAAGTTTGAAAGACTTCCAATCACGTGATTAGACATAAATGAACACACAATTTACTTAGATCGACTGCCATTTCATGAAAAGTGTTTAGTACACGAGATACGTCGCGCATTTCATAGGATTTCTTACTCCGAGTTGGAATATTTATTTTAAAAATGGATTTTTCATAACAAATAGGGTTGGTAAATTATATTTAAAGATAGATTTTTATAACAAATAGGGACTGATGAATTTTTTACATTCGACACAAATTTGCGTTAAATTTTCAATGTCGGCAAGCGTTTCTGTGTTAAAATTGATTTCTTAAGAAAGAAGACAATCTATCTCTTGAGAACATACGGTAATTTAAGGTGATAATTAAATATATTATATCTGTTTTGATGCCAAAGTTATGACCTGATCTGCATGGCGGCTGCGCAACTTTAGAGCAGCGAGAAGCTTTCTGTTCTCGCGGAGATGGACAATCGCACGAGGCTTTTGACGATCGATCGGCAAGCATTTCTGGGGATAGAGGTAAGCGCGGCATTTATATTGACGCATAAAATTGCTTGCCGTTTAGAGAATTAAATCGATATGATTAGTATGATACCAAGTTTGCGAGAAACACAACTAAGTTAGTCATAGACAATCATTTTAAATTAGGGCGAAAATAATTTTTAGTATGCTGGACGATGGGAGTGCAACTTCATCAATTTCCTCCTCGCAAAGAGTCGCATCTCTTTAAGCGTTGCACTACTAATTAAATATTCTCATTATTATCTCAGAAAATCGAAATTAGCGTGACATTTTCATTAAATCGCCATCCAATACTTTTCGGATAATGTACTACTAAAATCTACATATATGCCGTAAGTTTCAAATAACGCAGGTCTGTTTTGATTCGTTAACGTACAACTGTTAAAAAATATTCGTGACATTCGAAAGGAGGTTCTGTGCTGCGTCCTCACACCGCGCCGCACTTCGATTGACTGAGTGGCTGAGCCAGCCACTCATGCAGCCATGGATGCTGCGCATGCTTCCCTCGCTATCGGCGTGAGAAAACAAACTCAAGAGAGCGCCGAGAGAAGCGCTGACAATCTCAACAGTCAACTCCCGCAAAACGGCTTGTTTGTTTCTGTTTATGCCATCAGCGCTTAATTATAATTCCTTTTGAATTCTATGAGATTAGTAAAATTTATCTTTCACTAAACTTCATTATTTTTATGTTACATTATCAAAGGTCAAATAAACAGGATAATTATATGATTAAAGGCGAAATGAATAAATATAAAGCACTGTGAACGCATTTAGAATTATTCACATTGATTAAAACATCAAGAGCCAGTTTCCCAGCATCATAAAAACAGGATTAGCAATAAGTCACTGAAGCCTCACTTAGTTTATAGGAAGCAATAAAACCACTCTAATTAAAAAAAAAGTAGTTTATTATTAAAGCTATGCATCATGCGCTGCTGACATCAGATAAGGGCTACTGCATGGGCTGCACGTCCAACTCCGCTCTGAAGAGGAAAACATTCATCAGTCAAACATCAAACTGATGCATGCAGGAAATTAACATGATTCTCAGGCTAAGTCATATTACAAACCAGAATACTATTAACAATGAAAACTTGTCTGCCTGTAAAAATGAAAACTTTATTATAGAGAAAAAGGCTCTTCAAAACATAAAAAAAATCAATTTTATCTAAATTTACTTTCAGAAAATATTCTCCAACATATTTTTGAAGATTAAATGTGCATTTGTGCAACATTGAAATAAATTATTTCTTATTCAAATCAATGCAATTGAAAGCATGACTAAAAATCTCACAATCCATATTTAGTTCATGAAAATAAATGATTAAATAGAACAAGGTAAATTTTACCATTATTTTATTGGGATCATAAATTTCAGTTCATCATAACTTCTTACCATGAAACATTTCATAAACAAGTTTAGCCTCATTTCAAAGCTCTTTGCAAGGGCTATCACATGGCTTCTCAAAAAATTCCAAGACTCAGGCCATAACAGAGTATAAAACTAGTAGGTAGGTATATATTTAAAGCTCACTTCAACTGCTGAGAGAAGTCATCTTCAATGTTATCGTCATCCCAATTATCCTCCCACACATTTATGTCGTCTGCATCTTCCTCTTCAGGGCCCCAGTCTGAAATAAATATTGTATATTGGTCACTAAAATAACTTGCTTTAGTATAAATTCTATAATTTACAGTATAATTTACTATGATTTATTATAGTGATGGATATCACAAACTTAGCCAAAGAACTTAATGTTGGAACAAAAATAAATACTAATAAATAGTCTTAATCACTGAATGAAAACATCATTCTGCAGCCAATTTTTGAAGCTTGCTGAAAAAGAAGCTATGTTTTAATTTTCAAGAGAGGAATTGGTATATAATGATAGAAAAATGTGAAATTATTGTCAAACATGGGCATTTTTGTCTCACTCATGAGATGATGAAGGGGCTTCAGCTCAATTTTTCAGTTTGGTATTATTATTAGGTAAATTATTTTAGTATATATATTGATGGTCTCCGAGGCTTATTACTGGATTAAAGAATCTGGTTCATAGTTCAAATTGAATTTTTTCTTGAAAGTAGAATCAATGCCCTGAAAATCTAAATTTTAATTAGTTAACAGCATTACTTTTTGGAAAATTTAAATATTAATTTTTCAAAAGTAATAGGGGCAATTGGCAAATGTGGATTATCATAAGAAGTAGGGTAAACGCGGTATATTCCGACATCGTGGGTAATTCCATCACCTCTCCAGCTTTTCCTTTATATTAAGCTTTGTTTTAGTTCCATGCATTTGTTGATGGTTGAAATGGTGACGTCATATATTTACGCGTCAAAATACTGCCAAAACACTAGGTCTTGGCCATCTAGTGGGAAAATATTGAGATCCAAAGAGAGACAATGCATGCCACCTGGTGAGATCATCGAAAANAATAATACCTTTTATTTCAATCAGAGTGAAACTGTGAAGGAAGAGGGTCAGGACTCAGGAATACCTGGATTGCCAGGTACCTATTCCTGAAATAGAAATCTCGATTCCTTGCCAGCTATTCCTGAGTCCTGATCATGAATGTAGTGGCGGCGCCAGACTGCCAGTGGTTACCATTCATCATTGCACTTGACCATTGGCAGACGTAATACAGTCTACAGGCCGTTTTACTACCACTGACACTGAGTAGCGAATGACGACTGACGAGACGAGTGCCGAGAATAAAAAATTCGAAACGAGCATCTTACCTTCAGCAGGGAATTCTTCAAATTCATCATCTTCTTCCAAAAGCCCTAAATCAACCTTAGGTTTTTCTTCTTTGTCCGCAGACATGCTTATATAAGTTTTTAAGCGCTGAAGGAGAAAATATCTCAAACAAAATACCTCACAGCGTGCGAATTGTGACTGGCAAAATGAAACACGGAGGACAGAAACCATCCGGTTGAAACTCTTGAACGTAAAAAATTGTTACAGAAAGTATTAGGAAATATACGAGAAAACTTTTTTCTTTATAAACTCACAAATTTTTGCAATAACAATGCTTAAATGAATCTAATCTGAAAAAAACTACCAGCTTATCGCGTTAGATTTATTAAGATTCTAATAAGTCATTTAAGAGTATGAATATAGAATAACATCAAGAAAATTCAAACACTTTCAGCTTTGTGCAAGGAAAAATTAGGTTTTTAGCTCAATAAATATCTGAATTTATATTAACAAACTGGAACGCTCTGTGTGAACAAGAAATGCACTTTATTGCACTTTCGTCTTCTGAAATTCTATTACGTCGTCTTCGTTCCGGGGAGTCCTGAATAAGGCATTGTAATTGGAAATGCCAACAAACAAAGGACACAATGCCTTCCATGGAAAATAAAAAGGCTTATTTTCATCCATTTCTTTTAATCACATATGAAACGAAACAATTGTTTGTAAGAGTGATTGTTAAAACTCACCTTTAAAAAATTGTTTTTAACCTGTAATTTTAGGAAACATTTGTGTTTGTCTTTGACCAACTTTTCAAGTTTGTTATGCTAGAACTACATTTTAGCCTAAAAAGAAAGATAAAATCAATTATATTTTCAAATGCAATTAATAAGTGCATTATTATAACATACCTAGTAGGCTAGTTAAGCCTAGTTTCCATGTTCTTGTCAATATTTTTAATAAACAAGGCACTTGAAGAGTTGAAGTTGAACTGTTGAAGGCAGGTAGGCGTAGGCTATACAAGCCTACCCCACTGGCACCAGGCAGAGGCAGTTATACTACCTATAATGCAGTCTGAGACTGACATGTCCAGTGGCAAAGCAGAGAGTTTTTAGACTCTCCTTCAAGCTCAATTTCAAATCCTATAAGTAGACCAGCAAAGTAGGCTATCATGGTCCTTTCATGGATTCCAGCATTATCAGCTACAGTGAGCTACTGAGGATTACACATAGTCACATACTGACATACCATTGGTTTAAATTTTGTTAAATGAGAAAATTAAATATGAACTGATTGAAAAAAACACTGGTTTGCCACTATGATACATTCGTATTGCTGCGCCAGGCATAGTGGCAAACCAGAGATTTTTTGGAATCAGTTCATTTTTAATTTTCCTAAAACTCAAGATTTAAACCAATTTCTTAAGTATGATAATGCTGGTATCCATGATACTTTACTGGTCTACTTATAGGACTCAAAAATGAACTTGAGGGAGAGTCTAAAAAACTCTCTGCTTTGTCACTATGGCGCCAGGCAGGCAGGCACCTATGCATATACGCTTGTCAACTTGTCAAGACTTATATAGTGATACAATTAAAGCTGTTGCCCAAATGTTTCCTTGTGCAGTTATGGAGAGCAGCAATGCAGTGCATGCATTGATGCTCTACATCTACATACATTACATTCAATGCCAGCATTGCAGCAGTGGCAGTGCAATTGTAACCTCCTGCTTGTGCAATTGCATTCTGATTCTCAATTGTTTAATTGTTCATTGCCTATTGTAAGCGCAAAGCCTATGTTGATCAACAGATCAAGCTTCTGAGTAAATATGCCCTTGTTAAAAAGTAAATGTTGAGAGTAAATATGTTAAGAATGTAAATGTAAGAGTTAATGTTAAGAGTAAATATGCCCTTGGAAATATGCCTTGTCTGAGTAAATATGCCTTGTAAATATGTCCTTGAGCTCTGAAACATCTGTAGCACAAGACTGAAGACAATATTTTTAGGCAAGTTTTTTTACACACTCATTTACTTAATTATCTATAGTCCTACTAATTTACATTGGACAACATAAATTAGTAGGTATGACTTTTTTTGCTATGTGATAATTCTTGTTTTCTGGAAGTGGGCCCTAGAACCATTAAATTATCCCCTCAATAAGTTCACTGTGATGGCTCCTGTTCGCTGCATTGGTTGCCGTACTCAGCTCCTAGACTCAGAAAACCACAGACTTCTTGATGCACATTCTGCTCCTCTGCACTCTTCTTCTACTGGTAGTGGTAAGTAATAAAGTTACTCTAATTCATTACAATTATTTTTTTGTTCCTGATATATAATTTATAGCATTCATTAATCTCAATTTATAGGTGTACAGCCAAGTCATATTATTATTTTGATATGATCTGTTAATCTTTAATAATTATTGTGTATGTATCAATGGCAGGTCCCATGAGAATTTCTTCTATTGGAAATTTAGGCATGGAAGCATTAAATTCTCTTTAAAAATGTGACACTATTGTTATTTGTGCAGAAGATATATGCCCGTCACTGAAGGATAAATCACACCTATACCTTGATGCTGAAAACTTGCCCAACTTTGCTTACAGTGCTGTGATGGAGGTAAGTTACTTTAAACTAGTATTTACTTAGTTTTCTTTGTTTACATTTACCCTCTTCTGCCTTCATTAAATAATATGTCAATCCACAATTTTGTTTTAGCTCCTTTTTTTGCACAAGTGTGATATAATTTAATTCACTTCCCTCAGATTTTTTAATGCACAAACAAGAAAGTTAGCTTAAAAATATTATTTTTCTAACTATTCATTGTGTCAGTATTAGTAAATAAAACATATCTGTTCTTGAAAATGCTCTAAATTTTTATTTATATTCATATTAATATTTATATAGGTATTTATGGTTCATATTAATTTTTGGTTACAAAGGTTTTTGTTGCTCATTTTAATAGTTTACTTCTCTTTTCTAGAGTGGCTTCACAACGGCAAGGCTGAAGTGTCCCAAATGCAGCTCAAGAATTGGTGCCTTCAACTTTGTGAAGGGCTGTCAGTGTGGCTGTGGTGCTCACATTCTGCCCTCTGTACATCTCATTTTCTCCAAGGTGATATAATGCAATTGGTTATATAATTAGTTACTCTGATACGATTTACTGAAGTTAGGGTAAATATCTTACAACTTTTCCCTTTCTGATGAATGGGAAATCCTTGACATTATTTGAAGTTAATGTAATAATCTTTCTTTGATTCCTTCAAAGTATTTTCCTATTTATATTCCTGATATGTTAAAAGAAGACTGTTGATGGTAACCTACTTACTCATATTAGTTAGGATCATCATGCTTGGCTTTTACAAATACATCTTTGGTTACTTTGAAATAAATAAGTTTCCAATTTTTTACAAGAAGTTTACAACCACATCCTCAGGTGGATTATTCTGGCTATGCTGTGAGTGCGGCAGGCAGCAGCATGAGCTGTTCTAGCGACGCTGCAGAAGGTGAAGGTTCTAAAGCTACACCACCAAGCTCCCTCTCAATAAACTCTTAAACCTTAACACGCGAGTCTTTTGTCCCATTATCATCTAGTGACTAGTTATGTTCCCTCTATCTAGATTCAATGTTCGAATCAGAAATCTACCTTAGTTTCACCCTCAATTCTTTGATAAAATTGCACGGTGTGCAGCTCTCTTTATGTATATATTTCACCAATGATTTATTTAGCGCCTGTTCACTGTCAGAGGCAGCAAACATTGCATCTTTCATATAATTTTCCCTGCTGAGTTCAATATAAATGTCCAACAGCCAAGAAAGTTTAACTGACCTTGTTTTGATTCATCTGGTTCTTGTTAAATACTGCCACTACTTTCCTGGAACCTTTAAAAACATACGTACTCGTCTATAATATCTGCATAAATTTAAACTTTCCAGCGATAATCATCAAATGGGTAAGTGGAATTTAAGCGTAGCTGAAGCAAGCAGAATTGAAAATGGTGTTGTAATATTATTGATTTATTTTTAGAAATGATTCTAAAGTAACTATTTATTTATGGAGCGGAATTCCTAACTCTAAGTGATACATGAATAACTGTAACTGTGATTTAAATTAGAAATTGATGGTTTTATTAACAAAAGAATAACAAAGACGATACTGTTCACTCTTGAATATCAATGTTTGTTACAATTCCATATAAATGTATAATTCTAATTGCAATAGGATATCTTATAAAAAAAACCTGAATTTAACTGGAGCAAATTTCTCAACATGTGGGAATTATTTATTTAATGAGAAATCTTGGTTGTAAGTGAAATTTTGGAGTCAGAAGTTGCTTTAAACATCATCAAGTTAGAATGTTTACTAACCTGAAACGCTCTCCACTCACAGTTGAAAAAATTTGGTTGGTTGCACACGTTATCACTATTGTTTGGATTCAGTTTTCCATTTAGTGGCTCTTTTGTTGTGATTTGTTATATTATTGCTGTTGTTGTTTACATTATTACAGATGAAGTGAAGGAGCCTCTACTACTGCGGTGGGACGACACTCTAGATCCTGCAGGAGTTACTAGAATTGCTCAAGCTTCTCAGTCGCCACCAAGTCAGCAAACTAAAAGCAGCATTCAACACTCAAGCTGTAAATCTTTATCTGCTAATGACGATGTTAAATTACTTAATAATCAAGAGCTATCTTGCACCGCACCGCTACCTGCTTCTTATTCTTTGGACAGTTTTTTATCACACAGTTCTGCTTGCAGGGACAAGGATATTTTATCTACTGCCACAGAAAATAATGCGAATTCTGATGAATCTAATCAAGCTGCCATGCAAGCAAACTCTCCATGTGAACCTGTACCTGATGTTGACTTTGAATTGCCTAGAGTGCTTTCTCTTACTAAAGACAAAAGTGCCCGAAAGTATTGCCCGACAGATGAAGGTGAATTGAGTTTTCCGAACTATCACGACGCCTGTACCCTGACGCACGCCGGGAAAAGTTCTAGTCCAGCTTCGAACAACTCTTCTTTAATATCAGATTCTGAAACTGGCGATAATCCTAGCACCTCCTATGACAATTCCAACAGCCACACCTCCACATATCCTGTTGAGGAATCCTCTGTAAACCAAATAGACGTGACTATATCATGTCAAGGTAACTCACATATTCGCAACTGCGATATGCCCACTGTTAGTGTAATTAACATCAGCAATTCAGTTCATCCCAGCTCTTCATCTGCATCAATATCATCAACCAATTCTCCAAGCACATGCGTCACCACCACCACCACCACCGCCGGCACGTGCGCTTCAACCATCGACTCCACCACCAAGGTGGCCACAACGAGCACCTCCGAGTACCCTGAGCTCATCGACTACCCTGATCATCTGCTGTGCGCAATTTGCCTTGAGCTTTTGTTCAGCCCGTTCTGCGTGAAGCCGTGCAGCCACGTGTTCTGTGAGCCATGTCTCCGGCGCCTCGCCCGGCCCTGCCCCACCAACACGGCGTGTCCGCTCTGCAGGGAGATTATAGGAGCCTGCCTCCCAGCCGCAGGTGAGCTTCTTGCACTCATGGCAGTGTCGCCAGTGTACACAGATAATATTTTGTTGTGTGCCTGGTGCCACGAGAGTTGCCATTGTAGCATAGATAATATTTTGTTGTGTGCCTGGTGCCATGAAAGTTTCCATTGCAGCAGAGATAATATTTTGTTGTGTGCCTGGTGCCATGAGAGTTGCCATTGCAGCAGAGATAATATTTTGTTGTGTGCCTGGTGCCATGAGAGTTGCCATTGTAGCAGAGGTAATATTTTGTTGTGTGCCTGGTGCCACGAGAGTTATTCAATGCATAACAATCGAATTTGAGACGGAATTCTGAGAATATATTCGTGTGCATTCATCTCCTATGCCTTTATAAATTTGTTTACTTATCGTGGACAGTAATCAGTGAATGTTGTCAGTATTTAGCGCCGTAGTCGGTTTGCTTGTCATTGGAATTGTGTGGCGCTGGACGATCGGCTGAATGATGTCGTACTATTATTGCTCGAGCCAATGTGAAATTTGTTAAGCCTGGTTTTGTGGAACACATGGTTACTTTTTTCAGAAATTTTAACTTGTTTTATTTTCAAGTATGTATATTTGAATTTCAGATAAGTAATTGTGTAGTTCGGTTACAGAATATAGCCGTGAAGTTCGTCAGAAGTACCCGAATCAGGTGGCCGAGCGCCAGAAGTTTGAGCAGAACCACAGTGCGCAGCATCTTCCCTTGCCCTGGCTACAGAATTATAGGTTTGTGCTTCGTCTCATAATCCATATGATGGCTGAGAAGTTTTTTTTTTGAGAAGAATTGAAATCAGCTGCTTGACAATAACGGCAAGTGGGAGTTGAGAAAAACACTTTCATTACCTTAGGAGATTATTAATCCACTTTTTATATTCTAAGGTCATAGAAAAATGTCTTATTCGCATACATTTTTTCCTGTTCGCGCGTTAGTTATTAATACTCAACGATCCGAACTTATTTGATGGGAAGCATTTATATTTTTTCTGTGGGATTAATATGTTTCTTCGTTTAGTATATATTTTTTCCCGAGGGAAGACGATATTTTCCGATGTGAGAATCACATTTCATTTGACTCTGGCAGATTCCTGAATTTCAGCAGCACGCGCCACCCACGCTCTGGGGTGTACACGCGCTACAGCAACTGGTGGCGCACGGCTCTCTGGATCTTCTGGGTGGACGCCATAGGCTTCCTGCTCATCCTAACCCTCAACTGGTTCCTCACCCAAAACATGGGAGGCAGTGAGCAGCAGCTGCCCTCACCTCCCCATCTCCCCGTCAGCCATAACCCCGCTGTCGTCCTGGACGGTAGTGGGGACGGTGGAGGGTTTAAACCTAGGAGGGGATCTGATGGTGGGGAAAGTTTCGAACACTACATCCACAGCATGGGAGCTAGGGAGAACGCAATAAAAGGCATGGCTTCCACGGACTACCAACAATACATTAAGTATCATTCACCGCACACTGCAAGTCCAATCCAGACCACTGCCTACACTGCTTCCCCTGGCGACCGACCTTTGGCTCATAATGAAAAAACTGTAAATTTCATGGATGCGAACGTTGTTTCCAACGACAAAAATGATGCTGATAAATCATCTCCCAACGACGAATATGATCTAAAACCGTCATCAGAAGAAGCTAAGAGACGTCAGAGAAGATACACGAAGCGGATACCTGTTCATTTCTTCAACAGCTTTGACAGCTTCGGGGACGTAGGAATAGATTTTGATGAACATGCCGGTACCAAAACGCTCGAAGGTGATTCTGAAAATGAACACGAGGTCGTCACTAAAGCTGGCAGCACTCAGCCTCGTGCTCGCTTCAACTCACGTACCAGAAGCTCGTCGAGGCTGGCAAAGGGAGTTCCAGACTCTGACGACGTCGCTGCCGAAGAGGCCGTCCCTCCACAAGAGGGCGTCAGATGGGTGCTCGCCTGACTAGCGGCCGTCACCTACGACTGGCTCTGGGAAAGTCCTTTTGCTCTTCCTCTCTTTTACGAGGGACTCCTGCTTCTTGCTGACGTTTTCGATTTCTAAATTTTATTTCACCACCTTTGCTAAATCACCGATAAAATCGATGTTTATTCTATGCAAAGTTGGTCATAATCCATGCTTTCCTTTTTTCTGAAGAGGTATTCTTTGAGTAAAACTGCTGTTGAAATCTACCGTTTTTTGCTGAAGTTGGCAGCAGTAAAATGAAAGCAACAAGCTTGCTCCAGAACCTCGAAATGAAAAAAGAGTGTTCACATTTAACATTTCTGCCAGAGATTTCCCTTGGTTTTATGTTTTTATTTGTTGAAGGCACTTCGCCACTAGTGGATATACCAGCATCAGTTCCTGCTGCAATAATTTCTAATTTAACTCACGTTTAAAATACCCTTGTTTGTCTCACGTAATTTTTGTGTGATAATATTGTTTTTAACGCCATGCAAGAGATATTTGACTAAACAATGCTGTGTCTGATGGTTAAAAGTCATGTGATCGATCATCCTATCCTTTACAGCAGATTCCATTAGTCCATTACCTTACAAACAACAATTGTCAGAATGACAAACGATAGTTGAGCTTTTCTCCGGTCCGCCGGCAAGGGTGGTGGTAAGTATTGCCTGATTCAATTTAGATGGCAATAATTATTTTCATGTGTCATTTTTTCCAAATTTATAGAGAAGTTGCCATCGCGTGAACGACTTGTTATAGGCTGTCGAAATTACGGTTGTATCCAAACTAGAATTGTTCAGTCATCACTTTTTACCGAAATAATTTTTTTATTATGGAAGAACTTTGCTTTTCACATTGTGCAATTCGGACCTGACTAATTGTCACACTACTCCATCCTCACGTATGAGGCATGTCTGAACCTCTCCCAATACTTCCATATTGAGTTTGTGTTCAACTAAGCTGAGTCAACTAAGCTGCCTAACCCTCCCGCGGTCAAATTACAATGTATGGTAGCTTGAAAAATATCAAAAGACCCATACGTCCCGCCCGTGGTGCTTGAGGCTAGGTTATCTTCTTGCCACTGACAATCACTTATCATCTGCTCTGCAGAGCATCAATGCCTGTCCTATCAATATCACAGTAGCATCACAGTATCAATACGAACATTAGGGGGAAAGGTTTGGCTCTAGTAAACATTTGGCCACTAAACTAACTAACTAACTCTGACATCAAAATTAACGATATCCCTTTATAAATTGATATTCAAGTTTACACGACGCCAAAAATTATATTTTACTAATTCTTCAATTGCCTTCGATATTAAAATTTTTGAAGGGTTAATTAAAACATACATTCGTTATATTTGCGTGTAAAAGCAACAGAAGTTATAATTTCTGCATATTTATATTTCCTCGCGCGAACGTGTTGAAGGCTGGAGGTGTAAATTGTAACGTGGAGCTCAGGTGAACAATCCACTCATTTTCTTCCTTTCATTTCGTAACCATTCTCTTTCGTTTAAGATTGAATGCTGCAAGCGATAATGATCTTAATTTTGTTTTTTGAACCGGTCATTTTAGTTGTGAAATATACAAATAAATCAATTTCCAATTACCCGAGTTTCGAAAATAGAAGCGTCTTGCTGAAAGCTTCCTCGCGCTAATTGTTACTTGTTCCCTGATCACAAGGTTAAGAATTACCCTCCTGTGATGCCGTCTCTAGACCCTGCTTGCCAATGGTAAGCTACACTCAACGTTTGGCTCAAGCTAAGGCTTTCCGGGTTCCTCCTCAAATTATATAAGTTGGATTCTATGTAACATTTTTCAGTACATATGATAATTGTCTCACTGCCAACCTATTGGAGATTATTTAGGGTGGAATATTCTTCTGTATTGCTGTCTTTGCGATGAGATTCTGTTGGAATGTTTACTTGGGTCAGCTATTGTGTTATGGTTTTCTTATCTTCCTTTTGTATTGTTAAAAATCTCAAAATATTAGGAATGTGGATACTTTTATAGCAAGAAATTCGGTAGACCTTAATTGTAGTGTCATCCTTATAAACTAAGTAATTCTTGACTCTAATGAGCACTCTGATTTTTTAATTAATGGCTTTTTCTGAAAAGTTTAAAACGTACCTGGTAACGTTTAAAACGCTATCTTACGGTTCCCTAGCTTAGAACAAAGTCCTCAAATTACCGGCTTGCGTTGGAGGCAGGGACGGTATTTTCCTCATGTCTTTCATTTACCTGAGATTAAGCGTTTGTCCTGTTATTATTTGTGTCTGGGCTTAATATTACAAACCAACAGAGGAGGGTCTTGCTCGAGGAAATATTCTAGTCATTGAGTATAGATGAGGGCAAGCTGCTGACTTGATCAATCAGTTGTTCAATAGGTCGTAGGTCCTTGCGCTAGGTATCTGTAACTTTATTTGTCAATCCGGAATTGCGTCCATCTAAATTTGACTACGTATGACCTGCAGCCGTACGAGCCTATTGATAGATTGGTTGAAGAATTCATTCATCACAATACTTTCATCCATTTTTTGAGTGATGTCAAAATGCGCATGTTTATAGTTCTTATGTACATACCCCTCCACAGAGTTGGCAGTATCTGACTGGTCTAAGTGGTGTCATTAAGAAAAGTAAGCAGGATTCCTTACATCTCTGTCTCTCTCCTACTGGCGACGACGTGTCGGACAAGCGACCTCTTGTTCGAGTGGATTGTTACTTTTCAACTGTCCGTTCTTATTCCTTCGTATCTTTGAGATGCTAACGCTACTCCTTTGTTGCCAGCTTCAGCGAGCCGGCCATCTGAGACCTTCCGCTTGTTGCGGGTAGTGTTTGTTTTTAATTTACGAAATTAGTGATAATTGAGACCTTTCATGTCGTTATTACGTTTAGCCTTGAATTTCAGGGCAAGGTAGCCTTATACCTGAAGTGCTAGTAAACCACGTGGCCATAAAACTAACCTTCAGCATGCGCGTGTGAATGAAAGTTGAGTTAAATTTAGTTGTTTTCTTCACAGAACTTCTCTTTTTTTGGACAATATTGCATAAGACTTTGTTGCTTTGCCATCACTATATTGCGTTGGTAACACCTTGTTTTTTCCCCCCACAAACTTGCACTTAGTTACTGATCATTGCTTTGTATCAGTGTACGCCTGTGCATAGCGGATTGGTTAACTTGAATTTTGGTAGCTGCGTTTGCAGAAGGTTTCAACTTGTGTGCCATGCCATGTTAGAGTTTACTGTGTGATCTTGTTGTTATAGCTTGCCATATTACGCTTGATCCTTCAGAAAAGTGAAGCTTGTCAGGCTGAGCCTTAGTTTGTTTTTTCGCTTAAGTTGGGATTCATTTTTGGTGAATTATTTAATGAGGTGTCACCCAGGTGCTTCGCTAACGATATCGCGCGTGTCGGCGCAATGAGACGCTCAGAGTATCGCGCGTGTCGGCGCAATGAGACGCTCAGAGTATCGCGCGTGTCGGCGCAATGAGACGCTCAGAGTATCGCGCGTGTCGGCACAATGAGACGCTCAGAGTATCGCGCGTGTCGGCGCAATGAGACGCTCAGAGTATCGCGCGTGTCGGGGCAATGAGACGCTCAGAGTATCGCGCGTGTCGGCACAATGAGACGCTCAGAGTATCGCGCGTGTCGGCACAATGAGACGCTCAGAGTATCGCGCGTGTCGGGGCAATGAGACGCTCAGAGTATCGCGCGTGTCGGGGCAATGAGACGCTCTGGTTACCTTCCTTGAAGCGTGTAGCTCTCAGTCCCGTAGTCTGGGCCACCACTGAATGGGTTGCTAACAGCTTGAGGGCTGGTCGATCAGGCGGTGTGTGTTGAATAAATATTGGTTATTTTCTTGTAGTTTTCAAACGTCCAATTGTTATTGTTCTAGCCTCATTACTTTATTATTAGTCATTATATCAGTGATATTTAATCTTATTTTAAGCATGTATGACATGAGTTTCTGCACCTATGGCTCAATTTTTTTTTAAGTAGCCCTCGACTGATGCTTGTTTCAGGTTCCTTGTTACAGCCTGGCTGTGATTAATTGCAACAACTCCCACGGCCGCGTTGACCCTTCTTTCATAAAGCGTGTGATTCCTTCCTTCTGTTGAAGCAACAGTTAACTTTAAAGCATACTTTTACGTTTATTTGGAAACGCCGCACTTCTTTCACCTATTAAAGTCAGAATATATACTAATAACCATGACTGCTGAAGTTTCATATGCTCAGTCTTGAATACTTACATTGTTATCATTTTGTCCACTAGTTCGTATTGCTATGCACTCTCCTCATTCCCCTAGCGTGTACGTACCATATTCTTATCGTACATAAGGAATATTTTAAATTTATAATTTCCCAACAATTTCTTATTTGTCTTTAACCTGACTTAGTTCGATGCCGCTGAGCATCTTTGAGCTGTGATGATGCCATCTCTAAAACATGTTATTTATTCTCGATAATTATTAGGGCTTTATTCGATTATTTCACATCTTCGTATCGCGAGTTACATCATATGTAAATTTGGTTGTAACTCTACTATTGCTCTTAAAATATATAGTCACGGCCCTCAGAACAACTCTATTGCGGGACACCCTGTGTCATCTCTGTTGATGATGCGTTCATTTGGTGTGTGAAGGCTGTTCCTAGTAAAACTCTTATTACAGAAAAAGTTCATTTTATTGCCGGGTTTTCTGACTAGAACGTTGGTGTGAAGTGCACACAACGCTGACCATTTTTGGAGCAGACGGGATTTTGTGGACAACATTCGCAAGATTTTCAGTAATGCAAAACTCTCATCTCTGTTGGCAGGCCAATAAACCATGAATTTTCCCTACTAAAATGCTTGCAAAACTTTATGAACTTTAATTAACATGCGTGTTATGAAGTCGACCTTGGATATCAACCTTTATCTTTATTGTGCCTTCAAGGTTCTTATATTAGCTCACCGAATCGACGCTGAAATTCAGTACCAATTCAGTAATTCGAAATTGGTAAAAAGTCATAACTAATATTTAAGCATACTTCAAAGCGCATTTTGGTTATAGAATTCGTTCATTCGTTTTGGAAATGAACGAGCAAGTTTTTCAAGCTTACAAAGTAATTTTAATAGTTCAACAACGCTAATTAGAAAAATCTATGGCAACAACGCTAGGTTTAAAAAAATAATCCTAAAAAGCTGAGTCAGAAGAGTGACAGCAACTGTTTAGGTGCACCAGCAGTGACTTGTTGGGCAGAATGCAGGAGTGTGGTTGCAGTTTGTGGTGCACCAGGCATGCATGCCTGGCACGGCCCTCCAGATCCCACGTGCCTCACACGCACGCCCTGTCTGCGTCAGGACCACGTCGTCCTGAGGAGCGTCGTCTACAGGAGCGACGGTCACGCGTCTGCGTGGATTTGTGGATGCATGTGTAGTCCGGCGTCTAGCCTCACGTGCTGGATGTGATCCCCTGCAAGTAGGTAGGACGTCTTTATGTTAGTCGGAGTTGGGAAAAAGCTTTCATTAAGATTTGAGACTTTCTTCGCAAAATGAGGTACGCTTACCACTCGTGCTACGCAAGGACCCGTCGGATGGTGCGCGAACACCTTTGTTTTCATGAAAAATTATAATTTATAGCTAGTCTTTTATTTAAAAATATATTTACTGATTAGCACAAAATAATCTGGCTGCAATTAGCAACTTTTGCCATATGCCGCCACCCCCTGGTCCCAGCAGCCCTAGTCTTTCTCTTCACATCGCAGGAATGTTTCAATAGTTGCAGCTCACCTGTCAGCCGAAATGCTGACGTCCGCGCAAGCACGAAATTCCTCCTGCGGTCCACATCCAAGCGCCCCCGAGCCATCATAGCAAATGCCCCAGTCATTTCCGGCCACGTAACGCCACTGAATCGAAGGCAAACGACAATAAATTTGCCAGAAACTAAAATAGGGATCGAGAGTTTCAGAGCTGAGTGAGAACATAGAGAATATAAGTATTCTCCTTTACTTCCTGACTTCCTGAATGGAACTCTCGATTCGTATCGGATTTCCTTAGCTGACCTGATATGTGTGAAAGCTTCTCGCTTTTTAAAAATTTGGCGTTCTTTACAATATATGTATCGTGTTTTGACGTAATGTGTTTTAATGCAGGCTAACAAATACGAATGACAAGTTGTAAAACGAAGTTGCAGGGACCCATGTCATGCCATCTTTAAAATGATTACTATGAGATACTACGTTACTACCTATGAGTACAAACGACTTAAAATACACATGAACCGTTCAATGTCTTACCTGTAGTACACAATGACGACAATTGAGTTGTTGCGGCAGCCTGAGCCTGAAGCTGTGGTTGCCGTTGTTGTGGCCGATGTAAAGTCTGTGATCTGAGCTTCCAACGCCGTACAGGGGATATCTGCATTAATAAATATAAAGTCACTTGGCACGAGCTGCAATGTTCAAATAATTAAATTCCACAGTGAAGCGCTTATTGTGTCGCTCATTGGATGTTGGATTCACTTGCCGAGTTTTGGTGATTTGCGTTGAGCTTTTTAAGTTTTATTACTGTTTCTTTTGATGCTTCGTTAACTTGAGCTAAAGAGCTAGGCCCTTGGGAACAGCAATTCCCGCAAACTAGACCTCAAAAAAAGCTTTATTTTTCTCTCAGTAATTTGCTTCTCACTAGTTAGTAATTAGAACTAAATACTATTTTGATGGATGAAGAAATGGATGCCCCCTTTTTTTCAAACTCACTCATCATCAATACCATTGATGTCAACGACAAATATTGACCTCGCCAATTACAGAAGACTATAGTGTTTCAATATCTACACACTACAATCATTTGAATCTTTAACGCAATGTTAATGTTATATTCCACAAACTACAGGCTGACAGAAGCGCTTCACACCTGTCTAGGCAGTCCTGTGTAGCTTCAATGCTCGGGTCGTTCGTAGGACAGATACGGAATTCGAAGAATCCTTTGTGGTTTGCTGTTATTTGCGCCGTGGCCTGCGAGCAATAAACTTTTTGGATGGCATAATATCAATTAACATAAAGAAGAGCAGTAGTAAGTATATTTGTAAAATTACTTTGAAGGTCTTTGAAACATCTAACTGCTGAGAACATACAATTTTTCACTTCGCATGACTTCAACGGCAGTACCGATTCCAATCTTCAAGATTTCTTCCTCAGATATGGCAGCTAAACTCAGTTTTACCCTAGCATTGTTGATCACTTGATATTCTTACACTAATTTTTCAAGAATTATTTATATTTGTGATATGAAGCGTGTGGACTGGTTCTTTCTGGGGACGTACCTCAATAACTTGGCCCGTACTGTAGTTCCTAAAGGCGTACCTCAATAACTTGGCCCGTGCAGTAGTTCCTAAAGACGTACCTCAATAACTTGGCTCGTGCAGTAGTTCCTGAAGACGTACCTCAATAACTTGCCCGTACTATAGTTCCTAAAGGCGTACCTCAATAACTTGGCCCGTGCAGTAGTTCCTAAAGACGTACCTCAATAACTTGGCCCGTGCAGTAGTTCCTAAAGACGTAACTCAATAACTTGGCCATAACTTGGCCCGTGCAGTAGTTCCTGAAGACGTATCTCAATAACTTGGCCCGTGCTGTAGTTCCTGAAGACGTACCTCAATAACTTGGCCCGTGCTGTAGTTCCTGACAATGATGCCCGTTGCGTAGAGCCCCCCCACCTCGTGGGGCCGGGGCTGCAGCTCCCAGGAGTCCCCGCACACCCCACACCGCCCCCCGTTCACGTCGTGCTGTTTCTGTCATTGGAAATCATGTTTTGGTTTCTTCACACTAAAGTTAGTAAAGAATCTTTTATTTTAGGCGGATAAGATAATTGCCTTGGTTGATCATACCTACTGGTATGATCAAACTGAAGTCTAAATTCAAATATTTTAAAAAATTATCTCACTTTTTAGCGCATTTTCTCATTTATGGAAAAAAGGCGCTATTGTGCTCGTCAATGTCCGTCAGTCTGTCTGTCCGTCCGTGACTTCACGTTTTCGTCGACGAGAAAATGCGCTCTCTGTCACTCACTGGAGTGGGTACAGAAATATATTTTTTTATATTTACTATACGGTTCTAGAATTAAAAGTGTTTCTGAATCCTGCACCGATGTATGATTATCTTTGTGTATTTTTCTCGTAACGCAGATTGATTGCTTGCACTGGTTGAACCGCTCTGTACTGACGGTAACTCTTGTTACCAAACATTTAGATGCGAATAGCTTTGTAAACTGTTAAAAAAATACACGAAAAAAAAAAACGATCAAACGCTCAGTCTTCTGAAGGTAGCTCTAGTCACTAGGCCTTCGGATTTAAATATCATTTGAAATGTGCACGTATATCTACGGACAAAAGAACAAATTACCGCCTTTCCGCCGCAGAAGCCCTCGTTATCGTTGTAGTCGCGGGGCGTGCTGAAGCCGAAGCGCCAGGCGGACGCGCGCGAGGGAGGCTCGATGAGACGTCCGTGTCCTGATGACACAGCCAGCGTCGCCTGACAAGTGATAATAAATAATGACAAGTGTATGTGTAATAAGTGTAATAAATGACAAGTAATATAGTGATAGTGATGGCGTCACCGATTCCGGATTTAACAGAATTCTCACAGCTTGTAGGGGTTTCGAACCCGGAACCCACTGCTCTAATTCTTATACTCTGAATTGTAAAAACGAATGGACTTATTGCTATTAATATTGGCGGCACACGAGACAATATACCAAATGAGTTAGTTTAGGCATTACCAATAACTACAATAATTTAACTAATTGTTCGAAGGCAATAATGACGAATGGGTTTATAAACAATGTTGCATAAGTATTAATACATTTAAAATTCAGCAAATGAGTTTACCAGAAATACGGCCAAAGAGAGGGTCCGCATCGTTGAAATCGTTCAAATCTCGATCGGAAAATTCGCCGTCGTACAAAAGTGCTGCCTCTGCAAGGGACGAAGATCAAAGACATGGCATGAATAATTTTTTGGGGTTCAATGGCTGTGTGTAATTGGTTTAAAATTCAGTATATTATAGAACACGGCCGTGTAATTGGTTTATAATTCGATATATAATAGAACACGGCCGTGTAATTGGTTTATAATTCGATATATAATAGAACACGGTATTGTAATTGATTTATAACTCAATATATTATAGAACATGGCCGTATAATTGGTTTATAATTCAATATATAATAGAACAGTGCTGTGCAATTGGTTTATAATTAAATATATAATAGAACACGGCCGTGTAATTGGTTTATTATTCTATAAATAATAGAGCACGGCCGTGTAATTGCTTTATTATTCCATAAATAATAAAACATGGCCGTGTAATTGGTTTATTGTTTTATGAATAATAGAGCACGGCCGTGCTTACAACTCGTGCTTGGGTATCCGTAAGGAACTACGATTGAAGACAATTAAAGTCAGATAAATAAGTGAGACTTTGTCGGAATAGCGATGCACTTTTTTCATCGTGTGTGTCATCTTGACCCAGTTTTGCCTGGAAAAAGGGCGTATCAGTGCTACGTATGTTCTCTGCTCGTGCTATCGGTCAGAAAGTGTCTCGTTATGTGGACAATAATACCCATTAATTAGTCTGAGTGGAGGATTTCAGCATGAATCAACATTTAACATTCATTCCGTGCCTGGATCATACACGGAAAAAAGCTGTAGCGTAAATTCAAACAACCAGCCAATCACCGTCCTCATCCTCATCCCAATATGCATTGCCAAAACAATAGCGCGAAGGAATATATGCTCTCGTCATAGAACCTTTGATCACTCGCAAAGTTTTTCGTTTTTTCGATCACCCGCAAAGCGTTGACAGTTCTACTATCAAGGTAAGACATTTCCCCAATTTAAAATTTATTTGGGGATTAATTGCAGAATATTATTATCTTCTAATACAAATGAAACAATTGAATAGAAAAATAATATTCACAAGTCTACTATTTACTAATCTTGAAACTTAATAAATCACTGTAGAGATTTTACCTCTCGATCAACCGCTCAATTTTAAAATAAAGTTGGTGACCTCTTTATTAATATCCGCAATATCACCAATAACACAACAACAACTAAACAGACGTTAATACATCACAAGTCAAGCTGCAAGCTTAATTTTTATCAACGCGGACATGAAAATGAAAGACTCCATTGCCTCCTAACAAGCACAGTAAGAATACAGACGTCGCCAGCTGGTCTCCTAAAATGTAACACGTTCTTCAATTCTCATAATGTTAGACGTTTAAAGCTTCACAAATTTTCCTAAATGTTTTATGAGCAAAGTTAAAGCACGTAAAAGACCAAACTGTTTGATCTAGGAGATTAAAGTTTTATTAGATAGGGAACACACCTTGCTGGGGATTATTAGCAATTATCTTAATCCATATAATTTTATTTCTAAGAAGCTCATGTTTCAAATCAATCTACGCCAATGTTTTGCTTTTGCAATTGAATTTAAGCTGAGATTGAGGCTCCTAAGTTTTATCGTCAGTTGATTTTATTGACATGAATTGTGTATGAGAACGATGAGTAGAATGTAACCAGGCAATGGCGCTCCTCAAGTTGTGCCGCGAGATGATCCAATTGACGTGAATGCTGTGTAGAGGCTGATAAGTCTGCTAGCAGAATATATCTGGCTGCTAGGCAGNTTGCAGAGTGTGGACATCACAGTCTGCTTGCAGAGTATGGACATTACAGTCTGCTTGCAGAGTGTGGACATCACAGTTAAACACTAATTAGTCGACCCGCAAGGCCTTGGTGAGGCCGACATGTGAAGACGGTGGCAGCCTTCAGGGACGTTGATTTGAACAGGGGCATTCATTCACTACGCAGAAACTCTGCCTCCTTAATTGTAAGTGAACTTCATTAATTCAATTTAACTCCATCGCTCGAATATCCCAGTGAATAATACGTGCCTTAAGGAATATTACATCGTCATTAAACATTCCGTTTTAGAACAATTCAAAAGTTCAGGATTATAAAGTCATTTTCATCGCCTCATCTCGAAACTCTCTTTTCCTGTTCGTAGAATTTATTATCTGCTATGGGTTGGTCTAATTTCTATCGCTGTTCAGGCGTAGCCGCGTGAGTCACAGGCTGCAGGCCTTATCTTCATCGGAAGTTCTTTACATGAATGTCACTGCGCATGAATCAGCAGTTACCTGCTTAAGATTCCGGTTTTCGTCCTCGATTCTTCACCAGAAAGTGACATGAATGATTGAAGGCCGGTCCAAGTACTTGAGAAGTGCATTCAGACCTTTGATAAGGCCAATAGAATTATGGCCCCATCGAGGGAGCAATTTGAATGCAATTCCCGCTCAACATCAAGGCATCGATGCATATATCAGAGTATTGATAAATAATCTAAAAAGTATGGTAGCACGTGTTTGATTCCATTCGAGACCAATTAGTGATGGAATCACGGCAATTTTTTTTTATATTTTGTCGTCAAAATATGACTACGCTTTAATGCCAATGTGGTGAATTATCAGTCATAAAATTTTACTTCAGTATTTTTATTTGGTCCAAAAATTGGCCAAATACAAGTTTTTTCCGTACGCAAACAATTTTACAAGCTCAAACCTTAGGTCAATCTTATGCTTCATGTTAAAAACAAGCCTTATATCAAACACAAGCCTTTTGATATGAGCAAGCCTTATGCCAAATGCAAGCCATTTTTTAAACGCAACATTTTGCTAAACGGAAGGCTGAACGGCATGCAAGAGTTTTATGTCAAACGAGAAGTATATGACGAGAGCGAGCCTTGCGATAAACGCAAGCCTCTTGTCAAAATCAAACCTTACGTCTAACGCAAACTTCTTAACTAACTCGAATTTTTTTGCCAAATGCAAACCTTATGACAAAGGCAGGTTTCTTGTTAGGCTCAAACCTTTTGACAAACGCATACCTTCTGACACACTCAAGCCACATGACAACTGTACGTATTACGTCAAACTTAATATGACGAACGCGAGCTTCTTTTCGAACTCACGTCTAATTTCGCGAGCCTTTTGCGCTTTATACAATACTTTGTGCACGCTGCCACTGCAGTGTGGCTCTACGTGAAATGATTCCTTCAATCTGTCACTGAAAACGGAATATTCAGAAGAAATTTTCGTTACTCGACTGCATGTGGACGATGCGGAATATATTTCGATCGATAAGTGATTTCTCCACCATGCAAGTTGAAACGTATAGATTCCATTTCACTGCTGCAATGACCCCTATTTGTGTAATTAAAAATTTCGCATTCACGACCCAAACACAAATGGCAGCAAGGTCCATGTCGAAAAAGAAATTGGACAGTACAGCATTTAATCAATTCTCTAATTTCAATTCAGACAAAGAAACAATGAAATGACAATGGTTGGATCATTCAATGGATTAACGATTACTAAATTATTTTATTTGAATTAAACCGATAATAGGCCCTAGATAATATTTTGTGTTGCTGATGATGGGAAAGCGGAAAGTTATTGGCGTTAAAAATGTTCCATAACACAATAATATCGAGGGACAATATCTCAATGATGTGAGCAGGCATGTACAGTGAAACGACTTACAAAAGTTGATAAAATGATAAATGTTGATGAACTCTCGTAAATTATCCCATGAATTGTGTTCATGGAGTTTTTTAGAGTCGTGCAACATTTTATTTTTAAACGAAAACAATACGAACGAAGGTCCAATATATTTAAATACTTTTATTTCGTCGGTAATTTGAGCTAACGTTAGCTCCCTCAATGCGCACACATAGAAATAAGCGAAAATAGCAAAACATTATTGACATTTGTACTGCAGTACAGTGTTAACACTGCAGTATACTGATTTGAATTACAACAGTGCAATCAAATACAAAGTGTAATTTTCATTTTCTTGGCGACTGAAATGTAAATCAGTTACAGCCTAATATAATAATATATTAAGATAAATAACAAGATCTATTTGTATCCCATGTTTTAATAAATCTAACTGTTTCTTCCAATTTGTTTTCATGGATCGCTTTCCAACCCTCCTAAATTTATGGACCCCTCTGCCCTCATATGAATTCTGTCCCCGACTCCTGCTTTATTAGTTTACAAATTCGTGATACAATTTCCAAATTAATGTTAAATTAATGCAATAATATGAGCATCAGTTTAAAACGTTTGCGGCATACGTCTGATTCTATCCTAGGCTTCAGTCCCCAGTTCCTCCTCTTGAACTCTGGCGGCAATTTAAGCCTATTGGAATTCGACAATTTAAACTTCATTCGGAGTGAATTTTATCGCGGAATAAAAACGTCGAAAAATAGAGACTTGGTATAACAAACTTGCGACCATCGTTCAATGAAAGCCGAAAAATAATTATAAAAGATTTCTCAACGAATAAAATAACAGTAAGCAAACGAGGCTCGTCCTGCACCGCAGTTATACGTAGCTCACCTGCAGAGTCCAGTTGGGGACCGATCTTCTTCAGATGCTGGAGACGACAAGACTGCTCTTGTGTAAGAAGATTCTCTGCATCTTATAAGCTGCGCTGTGGAAGTTTACGTACTTTTCATTGAGGAGGGTTGAAATTTGTAGCACTACCCAATTACTTGTCTATGTATAGTGAAAAGTCATTTAATTTGCAAGATATTAAACTTTTGGGCTAAAATTGTTTCATCAGCTTAGAAAATTGTTTAATAAAAATAAATTTACAGCTCTAACAAATTATTTCACAAATTACTCACAACATAAAAGAAAATACTTGAATTCATACGGAAAATTGTTTGAAGTTATATCTAAAGTTATGAGAATTCAATTGGCATTCCACTTATATTGTAAGCAAAGACTTTTTAGTTCATAAAATATGCACATTTATGATTTATTTCATAGAATAAATAGATTTTATCGTTTAGTGAGGAGTACCGTAAAGTTATTACAACCATGGTTATTACCATGGCTATTACTACGCCGTAATCTGAGCGACTCTAGTTTTACTTCGTAGTAGACGTAGACGACGAGGTTCCGTTATTTAGTTTTCAACTTGGATAGTATTGAGTTATCTGTCGTTGCCTCTCGATTGATGTCGTCGAAGTCTCTAGATTGAAGTCAAATATTTTCAACTTCGGGCCCGTATGCCATATAACTGGTCTCGTGTGTTGGAAAACTTCTTGAACCAATAATGAACAATCGTCTGGTTTTTTCCTGGAGCAGACCAACAACTCCTTTCGTTCATCTCATGAATGGACTTGGAGGTTTCAGACGCTTCATTCGTGTAGATTGTAGGCTAGCTAGCCTACTCAATCTAAGCCTAGTACTAGTAGTACAAGTAGGTCAGAGACCGTCAGATCAGATGGGCAGACTCAGACTGGTTTTCAGGTTAACAGGTTTCAAGCTGCTCTAACAACAGTCAGACAGCCAAATCTATTTTTATTTTGGGTAGTTTGGCTGTTTGCAACTTCATTCTAGATAGAACATTTAGCCTTTAGGAATATTGCATAAACTAATAAAGATAGTAGCAGAGCAGCCAGAGCTGGGCAGCGCTACTTGGAAATGTAGCGGCGGCGGCGCTACCGCTACCGCTACATGCTCTAAATGTAGCAGGCGCTACCGCTACCGCTACACCCACTAGATTGTAACGGGCGCTACCGCTCCAGTAAAATGTAGCGCGCTACATTAGCTGCTACAATGGCCAAAATTATTGGAAATCTCTAAATATTTATTGTTCTGCTAGCTATTGGGATTTACTCATTGACATTTAATGATAATAAAACATTTTAAAAACATATCAATGCAACTTTATTGCAATTAACTTAACCGAACTAGTATGGGTTACCCCAGGGTTAGTCGGTTAGATACAGTAAATAGAAGTTAGGGTAAACGCGGTATATTCCGACACATTAAGGACGCATCGAGAAATGAAAAACTATAAAAAAACGTATGCGTTACGTA